AAAAAAAAAAAAAAAAAAAAAGCTACAGGTGTACTTACCTAGACCCTGAGAAGCAATGGGTAGGCTTGAGTAGCATCCATATTTGAAACTAAAATCCTGAAGCTCAGGAATTTTAGCTGGAATTTGGTAATTCCATCGAAATTCAGTGTCTGCTGGTCGGGGAAGTAAGTTTTTCCATTCCAGAAACATCTGAGAATGTTGCTTAATCTTTTGAGCTGGGGTACAAATGGAAGGCAATAATTACTCCTTGTAAGCTATTTCTTAATAGCCTCATATTTTCATTCCATTCTGCTCTGTCAGTAACTTCCAATTTATCACACTAAAACACACTCTTCTTGCATTTAGAGGTGTGGTCAATGTACTTTTTAGGGACATTTCAACGAGGAAATAATTTTCTGCTTTATCAGGCACAGGAATTACAAGTCCAAATGATTAGAAGTCGTTTCTAATGAGTATATTGTACATCTGTTAGGAGCGCTTATTTGTTTCTGCTCCGTGGACTCAGGAAGCCTGTCTCACTCCAGTGGTCCTGCCTAGTCCCTGGGGCAGGGGTTAGGGTGCAGAGTGAGAGATTTTAGGTAGGGCTACGGTTGCCATATAAAACATAGGGTGCCAGTTAAATTTTGTGGGGGGCCACACCATGTGACTTGCAGGATCTTAGCTTCTCAACCAGGGATCAAACCCGTGCCCCCTGCAATGGAAGCACAGAGTCCTAACTACTGGACTACCAGGGAATTCCTGGATGCCAGTTAAATTTGAATTTCAGATAAACAATGAATAATTTCTTAGTGTAAGTATGTATAGGTACTAATTTTTTACCTGTTATACACCATTATTCAGATTTAACTGGGCACCCTGTATTTTTATTTGCTAAACCTGGCAACCTTAGATGGGGCAGTGCATTGTCATCCCCATTATCGTGAAAAGAATCACTCAAAGGAAGAGAACCCTACCGATGGAGGGTTAGGTAAGATCATTGTCATTAGTGGACCGTAGCACTATTAGTTTTGGAAATAACTCTGCTAACAAATACTCATTAAACATGTGATCCTTAAATACCTCTGAAGCACTGACTAAAACCAGGTTCCACAAGCACTACCAGATTAACTGAGGAGAGAATCACAAGTCATTTCACCTGGAGCAAGTTCACCCCTAATTCTTGCTACAAAATGTTGGTTCAGAGGCACATCATACAACACCAACTTTAATTGGGACAAATATATTAAAAACATGAATATCACCTAATAAGGACCTACAGGGAACTCTACTCAATACTCTGTAATGGACTATATGGGAAAGAATCTAAAAAAGAGTGGATGTATGTGTACATATAACCGATTCACATTGCTGTACACCTGAAACTAACACAACATTGTAAATCAAGTATACTCCAATAAAAATTTTTTAAAAATAAATAAAATGAGGAGAAAAAATTCAAATTGTGGAAATATGGACAAAATCAGCTACTTGTGATAGGAGATGAAAAAGAGATTAGAAATAAAGATCAGAGTCTTCTTTGAAAAAATAAAATAAGTGATACTAGAAAAAATAAAGTATTCATAACCCTAAAAAAAAAAAATCATGAGCAATGTCACAACAGTGCTAATTACTATTAACACTAATCTCTATTTTTTCCAAAGTAGTTTTTCAATAGGTCTTTTCAAAATAAATTCAAATGTACATTGTATATCAAACAATATGTGATGTCATCTACTGGTACTCAAGAGCATTTTAATATTGATTTTTAAAAATTGATCTCTGTCCAGACCAGCACAGTGGGAAAGGGTTTCACTACATGGTGCCTCTTAGTTTAGATGACTCAGGGAGAGATGCCATGGGTATTCAATGGCCCTCATAATGACCTCATAAACCACCCGAGGAGAAGGCAAGGTTATAGAGAGAGAAGAAAACTCTTGGGCTCAAACATCAGGACATTCCTTAAGCTATTTTGGAAAATCATCTGGTATTGTTCCAAGTAAGCAGCATCTATAACTTGGTTTTTGTAAATTACTAATGGCTTTATTAATAAATAAATTCCCATCGAAATACTTGATACAGATGCCTATGCTTCTCCCCTAGCTGACACTCAAAAGCAAATGTTTTCGGCTCCTATATGGATTCTGTGTCAAGGTTAAACGTAATTAAGTCATTGTTCTACCTCAAGACAATCTCAAACCAGTGTTTGAGATATACAGGATACATGGATATGGAATGTGATATCTTGCAACCATAACACTTGGAACTGTGGTTCTCACATGGAGATAATACCTCAGAAATACCTAGGAATGTTATTCCAAAATATACCATGCTGAACCTTATCCCAGACATTGAGACTTTCTAGAAGTGGGACCCAGGCGCTTATATTGTGAACAAGCTTCTCATAAGAATCACTCACTCAGAGCTGTAGATAAGGTGCTACAGAAGCCCAGAGGGAGTGTGGCAGGCTCTGTTACCGGAAGGGAAGGAAGACAAGAATCAAAAAGGCAGACACAGCAAAAAGCGTGTTTTGACAATGGGTCAACTCTGAAGCAAAAGATGCACAGAGTGTTCATGAAATGCGGTCTAGTTGGTGCGAGTGAGGAACGCAGGGAATGGGGGACGGGCTGAGGGTGAAGCAGGAGAGGCAAGTTAGGAGCCACGTTGTGAAGGGTCTTGAGGGGCTGGTCCATGTGGACCAGGGTAGACCAGCACAGAAGTAGAGCAACTGGAGATGAAGATCCAGAAGAGACAAAAATCAGGCTCTGGATTTACTCTGAGTTCCTTTGAAAATAAAGATTAAGTCTTTTTTTTAAATTAATTTTTATTGGAGTAGAGTTGCTTTACAATGCTGTGTTAGTTCCTACTGCACAGCAAAATGAATCAGCCATACATATACATACATCCTCTCCCTTTTGGACTTTCTTCCCATTTAGGTCACCACTGAGCATTGAGTAGAGTTCCCTGTGCTATACAGCAGGTTCTCATTAGTTACCTATTTTATACACAGTATCAAGAGTGTATATGTGTCAATCCCAATCTCCCAACTCCTCCCAACCCTCCACTTTCCCCCTCGGTACCCATATGTTTGTTCTCCACGTCTGTGCCTTTATGTACTTAATTAAGATTAAGTCTTATTCTTCATTGATCCTTAGTACATATCACTGTAATAGACCTCAGTAAATATTTACTAAATTAGTGAGTGAATAAAAGAAAAAAAAAGAAATGTAATTGCTATGTATTAGCAATTAATCTGAACCACACTCTAGTTACTGCCTATGTGATATATGCTTAAAGTACCTATTAGTTCTTAGTTCTTCTTGACTAATGGTTTTATTGTCTGTATCAAATTTCATGTTAATGAGCTCCTTTGGCATTATTAAGAGAAGTTCCTGATACAAAAGGACCTGACCAAGGTCACATATTGTATAGTATGATTCCACATATAAAATATCTAGAATATGTCATCCATAGAGACAGAAAGCAGATTGGTAGTTGCTAGAGACTAGGGGAGAGGGAAACAGGGAATAATTTCTTAATGGGTACAGGGTTTCCTCTTGAGATTATGAAAATATTTTGAAATGAGGCAGAGGTGGTGGTTGTAGAACATTATGAATGTACTAACTGCCAGTGATTTGTTCACATTAAAATGGTTAATTCCATGCTACGTGAATTTCACTTCAATTTAAAAAAAAGTTTCAGGGACTTCCCTGGTGGCGCAGTGGTTGAGAGTCCGCCTGCCAGGGCAGGGGAAGCCGGTTCGAGCCCTGGTCCAGGAGGATCCCACATGCCGTGGAGCAACTAAGCCCGTGTGCCACAACTACTGGGCCTGTGCTCTGGAGCCCGTGAGCCACAGCTACTGGGCCTGCGTGCTGCAACTGCTGGGGCCCATGTGCCTGAAGCCTGTGCTCCGCAACTGGGGAGGCCACTGCGGTGAGAGGCCCGCACACAGTGGCGAAGACCCAGCGCAGCCAAAAATAAATAAATAAAATGAATAAATTGATTAAAATAAATGTTTCTTATGTAAGGGGATAAGGGAGTAGTAGTTAGAACTAAATGTGAGAAGGTGAGCAAAAAATAGTCTAAGAAGGACCACAGCTGTAGATGATGAAGGATCTTTGGGATATACCCAAACTCTCATTCTTACGGATTATTGATAGAATATCATGTTCAAAAGATATGTAGGTATTATCTTACTTGACTGGGGTAATAAGATTTGTGGTTCTTGATTCCTCTTGAAGTTCCAATGTTGATCCAATCTTCTTTAGAATATGATTTCCAAACATACTCATCATTGTACTGTGCCTGGTTGGGAACAGGGTAACTAAGTGAATATGTATATCCTAATCTTCTGGTACTTTTCTGACTGTTAGAAAAGAGTGGAAACTAGAGTAAGGGATTAAATACCAAATTTTACAACAGTACACATGTCAAATAATTTTTGAAAGATTGGCTGCCTTAAGACTTGATGCCAGAAATAATTTAATTTCTAGGTTTCCCTGAAAAGAAACAATCCTGTATATTATTATGGCCCTTAACAAAAGTAAGAGTGTCCTAAATTTAAAAGAATAATCTGAAATTCATTAATTTTTTAATTAATTTTTTTAAAGAGATGAGTACTCTTCTGTGTAAACAGTACTTGAGTATAACTAAATACCTGGTGAAGGAAAGTTTCTTTATGTAAAAAGTATTCCAGTTAATAAAAGGAAAAATATAAGAATTAGGATACCACTGGTTTGCAAGTCCCTAATGAAATAATGCTTCTAGGCAATGATCAGCAGTTGCCACTCTGGATATACATACCCAACACCACCTAGTAAATACTTTTGTGAAAATACCCAACCTGAATCAGATGAAGTCTTTGGAATATTAGATTACAGGAAATACATGAAAAGAAGGAAGGATAGTTTTAAATGACACGATGGGGATGGGGTCAGAAAAATCCAGAACGAATCATCTGTTTCTTCAACAAAGAAATTCTCAGGAAAAAAAAAGTGGAGAAACCTGTAGATTAAATGAAGTAAGAGAATACAATGCAGAGACCTTGTCTGGATTCAATTTCTAACCAACTGTTTTTGTTTTTTTTTTTAATTATGAGGCAACTGGGGAAATTTTGATTGCTTATTGGCTATTTGATATTAAGGAATTGCTTTTTTAGGTGAGATAATGGTATTGTTACATATTTTGAAAGCATCCTTATCTTTCAAGAGATACATAAAAATATATTTAGACTTATGATATAAGGCCTGGAATTTGCTTCAACATTAGCCAGTGGGAAGGCTAAGTGGAGGATATACATTAAAAATGTCCATGTGCTGTTGATTATTATAGCTGGATGATAGCTGGGGATTTATTGTTTATTCCTTTGTGTGTGTCTAAAATATCGCATATTGACTTTTTTAAAAAAGAGGGCTGGGTAAGATTCAGGTTACGTCTGTAAGAAACCAAACATCTGGAAAGTGGGATACATCTGGATGCTGCACTATTTCACTTGTCATTCAGATGTACAGATTCAAGCATGACTGTGGTCCTAAATCAAACTGAAGTCATCGAAGGTGCATGAAGACCTTCCCAAAGGGATCACAGCACAAATTGCTTTAAAGGAATAGATTTTCACATCCGCATTTCTCAGTATATTCTTTCTTAACATGTATCTGCCTGAGAACAAAGCTGCATATCTAGTGGGTCTTTTCCTTCCCGCATCCTTTTCTCCCTTCCCCACTTCACCATAGGATCTTACTTAGGTGCATTACACCTCAGGGTGTTAGCTGCCAATGGTGAGAGGGGTGCTGGGCAAAGGGAACTTCATTATGGTGACTTCAGGGAACTCCCTTGTAACCCAAATTCCATACACTTACCTAGGGCTTGCCATTCTAGGTCAAGAGTAAAGGGTGGGGCTATAACCAGAGCATTAGAGCCTGTGCAGGGATGTTCTGAATGTAGGTACACTGTAGACTGGTGTGTCTGAGAGTAATGGCTAGTTTTCCCTGTCCTAAAAATTATCAAATGTTCATCCCTCTTTAAGGAGAAGCTTCTAAGAGGAGAGCAGAGACTATAGATTGCTGAAAATGGCTCTTTCCCCTACATATTTAAAGGTAAGCATTTTTCCAGCTTTTAAAAAATCCCTAGGATATGTCACTAGCAGGAAAGAAGAGCATCTCTGTTTAGATAAAGCAGTACAGGATGGCGATGCTGATTCTTTTCAATGTACCCGGAATCTTTTCTGAGACTATCAAATTTTTAAAGATTCACTGGATAAGACTGGTACATAAAAATCTTGTGATCTTTTTTTCTGATTTTGTATTCATCATTCAATAAGGTATTTAAAGCTAAGTTTTTATCCCAAACATATTATGAAATATTTACTTCAATATAGTCAGTCCTCATTTTATTTTATGATGTAAAATATTTAACAATACATGAAAGTATACGCTAGCTTGTCAGACTAGTAATTTTCCATATATAACTATATACTTACCATATATAACTTTCTCTTTCATTAAATACATAGTAAATGTTTGATTTGGTTTCTAAAGAAATCAATGAAATTGTTTCTGCTTTTTATGCATGATATTATTTACTTATTTTCCAAAGTCAAGCACCAGAGTTCTGCACACATGAGAACATATTTAACTAAGAAACCTCATATTTTTTATCATACTCCTCACTTCAGAGATAGCTTACATATTTAGCTACACATTTCATTGCATTATTTTTGTTAGTTGGATGTAATTAATCATATTAGACCTGAATCTTTCTACACTTCTCCTGTCTACTTTTAATAATCTTCCCTACAATATGCATTCTATAATTTATCAGTAGTTTTCATAATATTCCTCAAAACATATATTAACATTTATTTAAACTAGAATTGTAGCCAGATTTTTATTTTGACAGGAAGTAAACCTAATTTCACTTGTTGGTTGGACCACAAGGACTGATTTTACCAGCTAGGTAAACATGGGGTAAATTGTATGAGTTAAATCTTCAGCTCAAAGATTTGGATAAAAATATATTTAGAATATGCAATGACAAAAGCATTTTTATAAAAAAAAAAGATTATATTGGAAAACCTTTATTGAAATTAATGTTCCTATTTTCCAAGTCCTTTTTGAGTATATAACATTAAATAAGTTTCTTCCAAATGAAGGAGTAACAGATGTCATTTAATAGTCATTTGTTAAGACGTGCCTTTTCAGGCCATATATGACAAACCCACAGCAAACATCATTCTCAGTGGTGAAAAATTGAAAGCATTTCCTCTCAGATCAGACACAAGACAAGGATGTCCACTCTTGCTACTATCATTCAACATAGTTTTGGAAGTTTTAGCCACGGCAATCAGAGAAGAAAAGGAAATAAAAGGAATCCAAATCGGAAAAGAAGAAGTAAAGCTGTCACTGTTTGCAGATGACATGATGCTATACATAGAGAATCCTAAAGATGCTACCAGAAAACTACTAGAGCTAATCAATGAATTTGGTAAAGTAGCAGGATACTGAATTAATGCACAGAAATCTCAAAATCTCAAAATATAAATCAAAATTAATGCACAAAAAAACATAGGAAGAACACTCTGACATAAATCACAGCAAAATCTTTGAGACCCACCTCTTAGAGTAATGGAGATAAAAACAAAAATAAACAAATGGGACCTAATGAAACTTAAAACTTTTGCACAGCAAAGGAAAATATAAATAAGACAAAAAGACAATGCTCAGAATGGGAGAAACTATTTGCAAACAAATCAACAGACAAAGGATTAATCTCCGAAATATATAAACAGCTCATGCAGCTCAATATTAAAAAAAACAAACAACCCAATTAAAAAAATGGGCAGAAGACCTAAACAGACACTTCTCCAAAGAAGACATACAGATGGCCAAGAGGCACATGACAAGCTGCTGAACATCACTAATTATTAGAGAAATGCAGATCAAAACTACAATGAGGTATCACCTCACACCAGTTAGAATGGGCATCATCAGAAAATCTACAAACAACAAATGCTGGAGAGGATGTGGAGAAAAGGGAACCCTCTTGCACTGTTGGTGGGAATGTAAATTGATACAGCCACTATGGAGAACAGTATGGAGCTTCCTTAAAAAACTAAAAACAGAATTACCATATGACCCAGCAATCCCACTACTGGGCATATACCCTGAGAAAACCATAATTCAAAAAGACACATGCACCCCAATGTTCATTGCAGCACTATTTACAATAGCCAGGTCATGGATGCAACCTAAATGCCCATCGACAGACGAATGGATAAAGAAGATGTGGTACATATATACAATGGAATATTACTCAGCCATAAAAAGGAATGAAATTGGGTCATTTGTAGAGACGTGGATGGACCTAGAGACTGTCATATAGAGTGAAGTAAGTCAGAAAGAGAAAAACAAATATCATATATTAACACATATATGTGGAATCTATATAGATGGTACAGATGAACCGGTTTGCATGGCAGAAATTGAGACACAGATGTAGAGACCAAGTGTATGGACACCAAGGGGGGAAGTGGCAGGGAGGGGGGAGCTTGGTGGTGGTGGGATGAATTGGGAGATTGGGACTGACATGTATAAAACTGATAACTAATAAGAACCTGTATAAAAACATAAAATAAAATTTTTTAATAAAAATTTTATATAAAAATACAATAAAATAATAAAATAAAAATAAACAAAATAAAATAAAATTCAAATATAAAACAAAAGACAGGCCTTTTCGGTATACTTCTCAGAAAAACGAGATAGGGAATAACTCAATAAATGGATGACAAATCATCTAATTATTTGCTTTCAATGAAACTGAAGGAGTGCACAACCAAGCTGTCAGCCAATCAATCATTAAAAATCACCTGTGATTTTTGGCATATAACCATAAAGAGTTCAGAGCATCGAATGGCAATGCTACACTAAAACTCCTTTCATTCACATCTACTTAATTATGAGAACAAGGTTTCTCAACACTAGCATTTATAAATTGAAAAAAAAAAAAAGCAGGAAAAATTGATGCTGAATGTGGTCTCATTCCCAACATAATAACACTCAAATCTGGAGGCATAAAGTAATTGAAAACAAAACAGCCCCATTTATCTCATCAAGATGTAATTCCAAAAAATTTACTTTTTCTGTTTAGTAATTATTAACATTTGTAATGTGTTTATTGCTTTGAGCAATTCTTTACTAAAAATAATTGTGATAACTCAATACTTAGGGTCCTATAACATGTTTAAAAATTAATGTCAATTAATATACTGAAATAGTTGCAAAGAGGTATAGTGGAGTGATCAATAAATTGCTTTCAAACACAAAATATATTAGAGCAGGGTAAAATTCTATGGAGGAAGTAGACTGGGAGTAAGAGTTCAAGAAAGAAAGAGAATGAAATAAATGATCTCTTAAAGAAGAGCTTGTTTGTATATGTTTTTAAAAAAGGGTCAGAGTGAGTATCAATTTGCTAAGGTGATTACCCACTGGTTATATGTAAAGAAATGATTTAATGGTCTTGTTTTAAAATGTCAATATTTAGGATGGGCTGAAAGTTTTATCTTTTACAGCTATTTAAGTTTATAATAAGAACTTTCTGTGGACTTTCAAAATATGTGAATTTGAAGACCACTGACCTAGACTCCATAAGTACCCATTTGGTTTTGGCTTTCATCCCAAATGTTTCTTCTTCAGACAACTGTTACTGTTTGGGAAGCTGGCATAATCCTTACTGTCAGATGGTAAACCTCCCAGTAGGGGATATAACTTGACTCAGTGGGATAGCCGGTAACTCGGAAATTAGGAGTCTTGCAGACCTGCACTTTTTGGAAGTCTGTCGTATATTATGCTGGGGAAAAAATGAATGAAAATTTGGGGGGTAACTTCTTTGTGCTATAGTCACTGGACTAGTGCTTTCAGTTTGTCCTCAGAACAACCACCTTATGCAGCAGTCATCATTCCCACTTTGCCAACCATAAAACTGAGCTGTAGCAGGCTGGTTACTTGCCTAAGGGAGCAGAGAAAATAAGGGGTAATTAGAGCAGGGAGCTGAGGCTGGAACCCATTTCTGCCTGACTGCACCACACAGTCTGGACAGTACTCCATTTGACTTCTCGACAATATGAACTTTTAAGGTGAAAAGATCCTCTATATTGGAAGTAATTTACAGAGTGAACACAGACAAGGGAAGGTCCTCCATGCTAATTTCCCACCTACCACTGATGCAATGAAAGATGGCAGGGCTTTCGCAGCCCCACCCTCTCTCACCCACCAATGAGCTTAGAGAGGCAGCTGATGGACAGAAATTCCCACCACCCTCGGTTCAGGTGGAGTTGAGGGAGAAGTTGAAAGCAAACATTGCTTTAGGAAGCAATAGTTGGAGGAGTGAAGGTAAGGGTAAGGGGACTGTGACCTTGTTCCAGCTTCCAAGACTAGTGTTGGGTGGAAGTGCTAACAATTACTCACTTATCCAGTCATTCAGTTGTCATTGCCTGCCTACTATATACCAGGTAATGAACTCAATTCATGCTCCATGTTTAGGTAGCACAGTTCTATTAACTGTATACTGGCTCTGTTGTAAATCATGATACACAGTGGCTTTATGAAGGATCCATGTGTTAATTTTCTCAATTTTCCTGTAGGAGCTTGGGATACTCTTTGAAGGGGAAACCCTCTCTGATGCTTGGAGGAGACCTGTGCCTGCAGTGGGTCTTATCTGAGTTCATTTCCTATAAGCCTTGTCTGATTACTCTCTATTGGTTTTGGACTCTGAATAACAGAAGAAAGGTGAACAAATTCAAGTGTGTATACCAATCTGATTTGAATAAGGATGTACCGAATTAAAGCAGGCACTGCTCCTGTCTTAGGTGTGAATGCAGTCTTTGTCGTGGTGGCATAGGAATCCCAATCGGTATCACCTGCTAAAAGCACAATAAAACAGTTTTAAACGTGGCGAGCCAGCATATTTTGATCAAATGTTGTTTTAATAATTAAAATAATTTTGCAAGAGACAAACATTTTGGGTGGTAATGCAGAGTGTAAAGGAATGAAGGCCAACTTGTGAGCTCCACTAGGGTAGAGGGGAAGCTCAATTTAATTATGAGTTCCCCCCCCCCCAGATAAAAATAGATCTATTGGTTTTCTTGAGAATTCACATATACTATTTTAAAGAATTCGAGCAATACATAAAAATATAAAGAAAAGAGTTCACTTGAAATTCTATCATCTTAGGATGTTCACTATCGCTGTTTTATTGCCTGACTTTTCATGCATCATATTAGATATACCTGTAAAGGCATGAACTGATTTTACACAAAGAGAGTCATAGTTTCCATGTCAGGTTCTCTCCTGGAGCCCTTGTCCTGGCTCCTTCCTGGCCCTGCTTGTAATCACCCTCCTCCCAGGTAGCCCATGTTGACAATTGTGCCTGTTTCTTTCCAGACTTTTATAACTGCTACTATAATCATATACAGATTGATATGTGTATATCAATACATTATCATATTGGGTTCTAGCCCTATTTTGTTTTACAAAAACAGGCTCTTGTCACACAAAGTGTCCTCTTCTACTTGTCACTTAACGGCGCCGTCTGGGAAGCCCCTCTGACTCGTCTGGTGCAGCTCTAATTAATTCTTTGTAACGACTGTGCAAGAGTCCGTGGCATAGCTGTTCTTTGAAGCTGTGAGAGTGAGTGAGCTCAGCAAGGGAGGGAGTGGCATTAGAGGAGGTGACGTCCAAAGGCTGAAGCCCGGGGCCCCCCAATGTCAAGAGGCTGGGGAGATGAGGGGAAGCCGGTGAAGGAGGCTGAGAAGTGCAGTGAGCGAGGTGAGTGGAGACCCAGGAGGCTGTGGTGTCCTGATGGCTGAAGGAAAAACGTGATTCCAGGAGGAGGGAGGGACACCTACAACGGCAAATGCTGCTGGCGGGCCCGGAGGGTGAGGATGGAGAATTCACCAGTATGCAGACACGAGGATTGATCTGCCCCAACCTCCCCTTGTGAACGGAGGTACCACCAGATTACTTGGGAATATATTTTTAAAATTTAATTCGATCATTCTCTCTTTCTTCATATCTAGGCAATTACCTGTGGCTTTTTAGATTTCACTAGCACCTGGGTGAAATGATCCCTTCCATGTTCGAAGCAAAGCCATCTGGGGTCCGTCACCTCACCTCTCACACTGCACCCACCTCACTGTCTGCCTTTTCTCCCGTTCACGCTTCCTGAATACAATTGCCATAAAGCATCTTTCTCAAAGGTGTCTTCAATTTCCAAATAGTCTGAAAACCTATATGCCACTGCCTACATATAAAAAAGAAACATTTAGTTTTTTGCCGTCTGTGTACTTATCCCCATCTCTCCCATCTCTCCATCTCTCCCATCCAGGGCTTGTTTCTCATCGAACAGGTCCTTGAATCCAGCCAGGCAGCTGTATCTGCCCCTCCGTAACTATTCAACCGTTGCCTTCACATGGGGTGAGTTTCACCTCCACCTGAGGCTTCCCCGGCCTAACTAAAGCCTTAGCCCCTGCCTGTCACACTCTGTCCTTCCGTTCACAGACTCCTAGCTGGTGTCTATGCTCTGATCCCATTATACTAGAAATGACATTATCCTTTGATTCTTCTGCTCTAGTGGGAACGACTTTATACTTTAAAGCATTTCATTCCAACAGCAGAATTAATGTTCTTTGTTCAGAGAATTTCAAGCACGGACAAGTAGGTGGGGAGAAATTGTGAGGTTGTGTTGCTCTTAAAACAAACTATCACTTCACCTGATTTGAAGCTCTGAGTTTGACTCTTAGAAGGATCTGGAAGGATCTTCTGCACAGAGACTGTCTTTATCCGAAGCAAGCAACACCAATCTAGACCTGATCACTCTTTGCAGATGCAAGTAGGATTTGAGATGAAGAACATTCTAGATTATCCGGCGGGCCCTAAATGCAATTTCAGTGTCCTCATAAGAAAGGCAGAGGGAGATTGGCCACGGTGGAGGAGGAGGTGATGTGACCATGGAGGCCGAGACTGGAGTGATGGGCCACAGGTCAAGAATGCCGACAGGGCTTCCCTGGTGGCGTAGTGGTTGAGAGTCCACCTGCCGATGCAGGGGACACGGGGTCGTGCCCTGGTCCGGGAAGATCCCACATGCCGCGGAGTGGCTGGGCCCGTGAGCCATGGCTGCTGAGCCTGCGCGTCTGGAGCCTGTGCTCCACAATGGGAGAGGCCACAACAGTGAGAGGCACGCGTACCACAA